AAAAGCTGGAGGACGTCAAGGTATACGAATAGGCACATGGGCAATGTCGCTCGCTCCCCCGGCACGGCGACGGGATCGCAGAGTTGCGTCCATCTCGTATTCTTGGTGGGATGGGTTGCAGGCGTGGGATGTCAACGTATCAGAGATGCGGTGATATGACGACAATGTCGAACCCTTCTGTCTCTGGTCGTCCATTCTTGCTGCCCAAAGCCGCGGTTGCGATGTGGTCCAGCAGCACCCTCTCATTCAATTCCGCCCGCCCTCATCTGTGCAGGCCCCATGTCATCTCCCCTCCCCTTCCCCTTCAGAAGGGACAGGATAGAGGAGGGGATGGATATGTTATGGGGATGATGAGGACTGGGGGGCAGGCAAGCAGAGCAGCAGGCGCAGAGAGCGTGGCAGGGAACGTGGAAACATCTACGGGTACCCGTTGTGTAGTATACATACGTAGTGCGCTGCGTAAGGTATCCTTCTGGTACGGATAGGCAGTGTAGTATTGTAAGGCAGGGCCTGTCTCTGAGTGTCTGTGTCCTCGACGATGAGGAGGAGCATGGAGGGAGTATTGAAAGGTCAAATCTGATTGTTGAATTGGTGGCTCCCCTTTTTTTTTTTTTTTTTCCGTCCCCTTCGTCCTTTTGTCCCCATTCCCTTCCCTCCACTTGCACTCACTTTATCGTCGTGCTTCAATGTCGGTCCTCCCACACACCATGTTCACCACCAGGGCTCAATTCCAAAGAGCCCCCAGACGCGCCCCTCCCCTTTCCCCTGCCAGTTGATGACAGCAGTTTCCGGGTGGGCACTTGTGGAGGTTGTTTCAATCTTGCGCCCCCCTGCTCGAAACGCATCAATACATTGACGTGCCTTACGTCAGTGATGCACTTGAGGTCGAGGAGCAGACGCCCTGAGGTTTTCACTACCTAGCACAACAAACTAACCACACGCCGCCTCGTCTTGGCCAGGGACACCCCACCATGTCAAGAGCCCCTGCCCACCAGCAGAAGGTCTGTTCTCTTGGCGCCCTCATTGATGTCAGTCTGCGGTTGCCGGTTGCTTATTCCCTACCAGTGGGCGAGCGAGCATAGTATTTTCGTGGGTGGAAAAGGCAGACGACCAAAAAAAAAAAAAAAAAAAAGGATTCTGTACACAGAGCACAGTACTATGGCGGTCCACTTCTCTTGTCCTTGCGCCCTCACAGTTTCTTCATGGCTCACCCTTACCTTTTTTTTCTTTTTTTTTCTTCCTTCCTTTGCCCTTTTGCATGCCGGCCTCACAGTACCGCAATACGTCTTCTAACTTTACCCTTGTCCTTTTTCTGTCGACGCGCAAGGATGTCGTTGACATCGTTTGGATGCCAGAGGTGGGCGCTATGGAGCGAACGCAGCCCGGTGCGATGAAGAGGCTGCGTTGTGTACCAAAGTTACCAGTCCTCTCTGTTTTTCCTCCCCTCTGTTCAGTGGACAGACTGAGAGAGAGGGGGGAGGGGGGGGGGGGGACGCATTCTCATGGTAGCCCACCCACTAATGGACCTACCTGCCTGACTGCTGCTGGCAAAGCGGAAGCGGTCACGGGGTCACGTACCTCATCTTGCGCCTGCGATGCTCCAGTCGAGAGCTCCTCTCTGAAGCCAATTCACCACTCAGATGTTATTGCCGTGCCCTGCCCTCCACTCTTTTTACTTTCACGTCGTTCATGACACTTTCCGGGTGCAGACCTACGATGCCATCACACGCACCGGGAAGGGGGAGAGAAATCAATAGGACCGCACTTGGGCTCTGCACACCTCCATTTGGCGAAACACCAAAGAAAAAAAAGGGCTTTCGTTGGGCGGCAGGCAGTCACACCGCGTTGTCTTGCTGTGATGTATATCTGAACGGGACACTACTGTTGGACAGCTGTTGGACAGCTGTTGGACGAGAACGCCCAAATAACCCTGGCTCTTAAAGCCCATCCATCCACATTCAAGCAGGCCATTCTCAGAAATAAGGTGTCTGGCAGTCTGGATACCCTTCTCAGCCTGGTCAAGGGACTTGTGGCGAACAGCGCCGTTTCCGAGTCAAGGCTTGGGAAGTCTGAATCTGGCCATGATGCTAGCAGGCTGGCTACGTATCTGGCATGGCGGGATTTTTCCCATGTACGAAAGCTGCGTAGGCCTTGCGGTAGGGAAAGGAGTCGTGTGGTTTTTTCTCTCTCTCGCAAAGACCCTGCATATCCATCCTCCCACTCACCACGATCTGATTGCTTCGGCTTTGGACGCCCACCTATCGAATGAGATGTCCCAATTCCCGGACAAGAGGAGGAGGAGAGAATGAGGAGCCAGTCTGCCCACCAATATAATATTCGTATCTACTACGTACGCCAACATCAAGCAAAAAAAAAAAAGCACAAGCTCCTCGTCCGGTCGGGGGTTTCTTGGCCTCTGCCCCCTCCCGTGCCGTGTCCTTGCCTGCCCGTCATAAGTGGCGTTTTTTTTTCTCCTTCGGGGTGCGTCCTGTTCTCTGTCATAGAGAGAGACAGACAGAGAAAAGGTCGACCGGAAACCAAGACCGCCATCCTACGTTACTCGACCCTGACCTTTACTTCACGACCTTGACCTTCACGCTATGCTAGTGCGGTGGATATGGCTCGGATTGGGCAGATGGGGGCAGAAAGAGAGAGTAAGCTCCTCTCGACGACATTATGGGCAATGCGCTAGAGGCGATGGCGAGCGGGAGAAACAGATACCGGTACCTTGTGGACTGAACCTTTCCATCCGTGGTGTAGGTAGGGATGGTGACTGGTGGGGGAGGCCGCGTGAGAGCAGGACACTCAAGCAGCAGTCAGTGGCAGCGGTGGTGAGCGAGCGAGCGGGCAAGCGTACGGGTGCAAGTGCAAGTGCAAGTGCAAGTCACAGGTAGGTAGGAAGGAAGGCTCTTAGTTGGGTAGGTAGGTAGGTAGGTGGGTGGCAGGTGGTGCTTGCACTTGCTAGCCTTGTCCAAAGTACCAAGTCGGGGCAGACGAGTGCGGAATGAGATACTTCAGCCGTACTTGGCAAGTGGGCGGACGGAACGAAGATGCACTGGTGGCAGTCGCGCTGTTCGCTGGTAGTTACTCCCGCATAGCGCGGTACCTGGTCTGTACAGGCATGGCCTTGACTGTACCGGCAACTTCTAGGAAGAAGGTACCGGGGCAAGTCTCTCTCCTCTCCTTCTCCCACCTCAAGGACTGCTCCTGCCTGCTTCCACCGCTGTGCTCCTCCTCTCCTCAGTGAAGTCGGGTGTCATAGGGAAGGTATCCATAGTGCTAGCAGCACCTTAGCTGCTGCCATGACCAGCCATGACCATGTCCACTTCACTTGGTCCCTGCCCTTGGCCCCCCCCCTCCTTCCTTCCCTTCTGCTTTCCCTCCCTCCCCATCTGCCCCCCTGGTCCCATTCGTCGAGTTGAACCCCCATCCCATCCATGGCTAACGATACCCTACCTTACCCTGGACCCTTCACTCTTTTGCCCTCTTTCCTTCTCTTCGACTACACTACCTCACTTTTCAGATCACACCCCTTCCCACCCCCTTCCCACGCCCCCTTTTCTCCCACACACCCCACCCCTTCTCTCTCATCGCTCCACACAACGTACCTAGCACCAAGTAAACCGACATCATAGCTTCATCTCTGTGTCTCTCCTTCCCGACCCGGCACCACCAGATGTAAAAGCGTTGTTCCCTCGCCTCCCATCATTTTCGGGCCCATCTACAATTTTGACCCAATTTTCTGAACGCTCATCATCAGAGATCATCAGCTCCATCAACCAACCTCAAACCGCACCAAGCAAATACACAAACGTCCTTAGACGCGCTCCGCCTTCTCGTTGATGCTTCGCCTTGCTCGCCTCGCTTCACCGTCCCATAGCCAAGTTCCAAAGTCTCTCTATCCAAAGCGGGAGAGCACCACTACCATACACACAACCCGCAAAAAGAAGCAATAATCCTCAAGCCCAGAGGCCAGAGGCACACACTGCAGCACACTCACGGCCGCATCCAACAACAACAACAACAACAACAAATTCACCCCCACCATTCGAACTTTGTGTGAGGGGACAGCACAGGCGCAGAGCAGAAAAAAAAAAGACCTTACAGTCGTCTCTTCCCGGCTGACCTCACAGCCGTCCGTCCTCGCATTACACCGCACTGCTGGACACCTGGGGTCCCTGTCACGGCTCCCCAATTGACCTCGAGACTTTTCACCAAACTGTTCTCGACACCGCAGATCTTTCTCCCATTCCGACTGTCCCTGGCGTACTCCAGGTCTCCTTTCTCCTGGTCGTCTTGTCAAAAATTGGAGCCACCATCTCTTCTCTCTGCTTTCTTCCAATCTACACCACGTTACGCACTACCGCGCATCCGCTCCGCTGTCGCTCATCCACATCCACATCCTCTTTCTCCATCCACCACCACCACCTGGTCTGCTCGACCCTCAATCCAAGTCCCAGTCCCGGTCCCCAGCACCAATCCCTAGTCCTAGCCTCCTACTCCTCAGCCTGCCCCCCGTCCCAATCTGAACCAGCCTGCTACCCTACCTAATCGCCCCCAACCCTGTCCGCCTCGGCCTCTTTCCCACGGGATATTGGCGCTGTCGATCACTCTGAGTCGGAGTCGTCACAGCTGTCTGCAGAGAAAGCGTCTCCACACTTCCTCCCATGTCCCGCTGACCACTGTGCAACAAGCTTCATACGACTCTTGCCTGGTCGGCCCAAACGATTGGTCTCAGCTCTCAACTGGTTCAAATACAAGTGTGTCAGTAGTCCACAAGCACACACTTAAACCTCGCTGATCCCCCAACCTCAACTTCCTATCTCCCACGGGATCATCCAGTTCTATCTGATCCGTGTCACGACTTGGCTCTTTTCTTCAATAGTCGGACACTCGCATCTGATCAGCAAACGCTATCCCGCCGAACCTTTGTTGACGGACACCTCGTCATCCCATCTCTCACATCAACCACCACACTCTCACCACCACACACTCCGATCATGACTATGACACTAGACTCCCAACAACGATTCGGACCTTTAAACACATTCGACCACATGTCTTCCTACGCTACTTCCTCCACCTCTCCCCAGTTCTCAAACCCCTGGGCCAACACCTCGTCCTCCCCTCAAGCACCCAACGGCTTGTATGCGGTCGGCAACGGTCACGGTCTCGGTTCGGGTTTGAGTCTGGACAGGTCACATACTGCCCGCACTAGCACGAGCAGCAATGCCTCATCTTTGGGTTCTTATGGCCAGATCCCAGTGACGGCAGCATCAGCAGGTAGTCTCCCCATGGCAGACCCTCTGCCTAGGACGGACTTACTCACGCTCCCTCAAGATATCCTCAGTATCAACCGCATGGCCGCCACCTCGGCTCCTGCCTACGGTGATGCCTCTTACGCGACGGCCCCCTCCCCAGTCAACGGCTCTTACACCGCCTCGCCCACGCCTTACGAGACAATGGGATACGCTCCCGCTCCCATGCGCTCTACCTTCGCCCTCGCCCCGGAACCCGAGCACTCTAGAAGATTCTCTCACTCGTCAGTACCCTCAACTTCCTTGGTCGACGTCTCGGACCCAAACGTCCTGGCCCGGCCACAACGCAACTCAATGATTGACTTTAGCAACAGAGGAATCCAACATCACGATGACCGCAGGAGCTTCGCCGATGCACTCGACGCCAGCCATGGCATGCTCGCCATGAGCCAAGAGACCCCGCGCAACATCTACGGCGCTCGCAGTGACAGGGGCTCTGGCGATGCTTACGGCTTCCCCTCGACTCACTCTACCAGCTCTTCCGTTTCCTCCGCGTCCGGATTTGGCAACTACTACGGTGCCGATTCCGTTTCTGACTACTCTACCGCCGGCTCGGACATCGAGTCTGTCACCTCCAGGACATTGCCTCGCCCTCACGGTCTCATGGCGCCTCAGATCCCTCCGGCTCCCCAGTCCATGATGGGACAGTTCAGCTCCAAGGTTTCATCCAGCACGCAGAAGAAGCACAAGTGCAAGGTCTGCGACAAGCGATTTACCAGGCCCTCGTCTCTCCAGACTCACATGTACAGCCACACTGGCGAGAAGCGTATGTCTATTTCTCATTCAAAAGTAGCCCAATTGTGCTCTCATACTGACTCGAACTCAGCTTTCGCTTGTGAGGTTGAGGGATGCGGCCGCCACTTCTCCGTTGTATCAAATCTCCGAAGGCACAAGAAGGTGCACAAGGGCGATGCCCGGTCAGAGGCTGGATCCGAGGATCACAACTCCGACTAAATCACGTTTATCGGAAGCTTGGGCATTTGATTTGCTCTTGGCGGCACACCGAATTCGCATCCAGGCATCCGAAACATCGAGACAGTCTGCCGCGTGCAGGGCTAGTACGAGATCACGAATTTTTCCGGTTCGAGTCATGATCATCATCCCATATCCACTCTCGGCACCACTCATATATCCTGCACCTCACCGAGTGGCACGACAATTGGGATTTTTTAGACGGTTCGCATTGTCCTATTTTCTGGTTTTACATGATACCTTTCTCTACCCTCGTTTTAATATCCACCTATCTGCGAGCGAAAGAGACAAAGACAAAAAGTCGGGCGGCGGCAAAGGAACTGGCGGGCGGGGTTGTCACTTTGGTTCAACGTCACAAAAGGCGTCTCACGATATGCTGGACTTCATCCACCAAATTTTGTTTATTTTATTATCGAATCCTCCGACATCGATCTGGGTCAGCGGACTCATCAAGCGTGGCGGTGGAATCGGCCTACCCTCGTTTTGGCCGACGCGAAAAGAGAAAAGGGGATGGGAAAGAGGAGGATATGGGTGGACAATGGCGAGATTCACTTCACTGTCGATCGCTCAACCCCACACCACGCAACACTACACTCGCTCCTCCCGGGAACGGGACAGGTTGGTGGCTGGACCAACCACGTTTTTGTGCTTTCTTTGGTTGTCAGAGTTGTGCCAAAGAGGGAGAAGATCTCCCAGTGGTCATGGAGGACCCGGCGATACCCTCACCCTTCGGCGTTCTGTGGATTTCTGGGATATTTCTTCATTTTTTTCTTCCTTATTCGCTCAGTTGATCCTGTTGCGCGCTCATCATGTTTTCCGCGCCCGGGCATCATGTTGCTTACCAAGGGTTGCAGTTTAGATGACGAACTCAAAAGGGGCCTACGTGTCTCTCAAAACACGACCCTGTTTCCGCAGAGAAAACATCTCTTGAAAAACAGAGATTCTGGGAAAGGGCGACCTGTACTATTAGTTTCACACGATGATTATACCCATCAAGCTAAATGCTTCGAGCATCTTAGTCGCATCGTTTGGGTTATTTGTTTGGCATTGTGCTGTCTTGCAACTTGCTACGACTACAACTACTGGGCTCACGGAGTTTTTGTGAGAATGGGCGTCATTGGGTCAATCTTTTTAGGAGAGCAAGCAAGATTAGGCGGCGGCGTGTGGTTGGGTGGGTGGGTGGGTGGAGGCGAATCTGGATACTCGGCTGGGGGCAATTTACTGAACATGGAATAAGCGGTACATATTGTCGCGACATAGTACAATATAATAGTAGTGCGAACAACAAAACAAAACACATTGAAACAACTAATCTGCTCCATCTCGCTTGCGCCCTGGTATGCCTTGATGTGCAGAGCATCGCCGCGTTCAGCTTGGTTCTCACACACCCCACGATGACGGAAATCTGCAGCCGTTTCGACAGCACGGATATTGGAGATCGGCATGCGTCGAAAAAAGATCAGACCACTCCTTTGTTCCCAGATGTAAATGGGAGGGGAAGTAGAGGGGAGGGGGGGCCTTTTTAAGAGAAGAAGGATTTTGTTGTTGGACGTCCTAGCACAAGACGGGAAGGGAAGGGTTCGATCGATTAGCGGCAGCCCGGGCATGGAAGCATCAGATAGATGGGATTGATGACCACATGGCATGGGGGCGGCAGCAGCAGCAGCAAGCGGCAGCAAGCAAGCGGCAGCAAGCAAGCGGCAGCAAGCAAGCAGCAGCCCATCGAGGTATGGGAGAATCCCATCACAAAACGCACGAGGGCACGCGCGCAGCCATGCATCCCAATCCCATCCCATCCCCCCCGCATTTGGGAATTAAGGCCATATGGAAAGGTGTGTTCGGCTCTCACCGACTCGCCACCCCGTTGCTTGTCCTTTTCGGCAATGATGTGTTGGAGTGTTGATGATTTGTTGATATGTGAGATGAGGCTGGTCTTTTGGTAACGAACCACAGGCGTCCGTTGCCCGACCTACCGGCTTGAAAGGCTGGTACCGCGAGTTGCAGCTGAAAACCCGAAACGAGGCATTGCAAGCATATCACACCCAATGGGAGGGATAAGTTTAAACTCTCTCCCTTATTTTTCATCCTTTCCTGACGAGAACCTGGGAATGGCAACGAACTCCATGAACGAGTGGCTCAGATTAAAACGGGGGGAAAGGGGGGAAAGACGCCGCGCCGATCTCATGTGGGAAAGGGGGTGATCGTCCGGTTTGGTTGGGTGTGTCAAGGAACACATCTTGCGTCTGTTGTTGTTGGTATGTCACTGCATGTGAAATGCGTTGCGTGTGCGTGTGAGAGATGAGAGAAAGAAGAGCGCACGTAGTGTTACACGTCAAGAGATGGGAGGAGGAGCTTTGCCGCGTGGTCAGAGAGAGATCGGCGCGGCGGTTGCGTTCGGTACGCGGGGACGAATGGCACACACACATGCGCATGCTGAAGCTAGGCACAAACGCGCATCTGTGCCCGTCTGGCGAGGTACTTACACACGGACGGCCGATGCCCAATTTTGGACTTAAAAAAAGAGCGTGTTGGTAACGGTCTTGGATTTCGCAGTTTGAACATTGAAGAACATGGGATAGAAGAGCGGGGGGTTGAGGGGAATTGGAGACGCTGAAAGACGGTTGTGAAGCGAAGGCGAAAGTGTCGTGTGAAAGTGGAGGCTCCAAGGCACGACGTTGTGCTGGTCGGTCCACGCGCCGGTCCAAAGTGTCCAACTTGTGGTGGCTCCGGGGCGCTTTGCTTTAGCGGCGGGTTTTGTTTTGGGACCAGGCGCCGTTGCGGCAACTGAGTCGAAGTTTTGCGGCGGCGGGCAACACGGAAAGGCGGAACTGGCACTACTACATACAAGAAGGGGGGGCAGAGAGGGGGAGGGGGTTTGACTCGCCGCCATGTCTCTTCTTTTTGCCATGATGGAGGCGTTTCGGGGCGGAGAATCGGGGCAGGCTACGGAAGAGGCTAACGGAGACGGGGTGATGAGGGGACGGAGGACGAGAGACGTTACGTAGCATTTTGGTCCTTTTTTATCGCAGCACTGAGATGGGGCACTAAGACCAAAGGCCAAGTGATGGCGATGGCGTCCTTGGACGAAACGAAAGGGACTAGCAGCTTAGTGCGGTGGACGACGGGGTGTGGACAAGCCGAGGAACCACTTGGAAAGACAATCTGCCATTCTGCCGCGAGGCCGACGCTAATTCGTATCGTATGCCCGTCCGTTGGAGCTAATGTAGACGGCGAGCTTCGGGGATGGAGAATTAAGGTAAGGTCAGAAGAAGGGGTTAGTTAGGTTAGAGCCCAAGTAGACAGAGAAGGGAAAAGGGACGGGGACGATCTCAAAGCTCTTGCATGGCCGACATGATTGATTGAAAATGCGGGTTCAAGGAGAGACTTGACAGCTGGTGGGGCATCTGGAGGACTGAACGTTAGTGGGAGCAGAGCCGATTGCCGTTGAGGGAGGATAGGATGGGATGGGACGAAGGATTCAAAGAATGCAATTGGGGGTTTGGACTTTGGAGACTTGGGACTAAGAAATCGGGGGACTGGGATGCTGGGAAGGGAACCAGCAGCAAGCCAGCTAAGCGAGGCTCCGCCGGATTGGATTTGCTGGAGATGGATATGCTGGGGATGACGATGTTGGAACCGTGGCATATGGAGACGGCGGACCTGATGCTGACTGGCGGGCGGCCACCTTGGGCCAAGGCACAAGATGAGGCAGACGACGGCTGGGCCACTGCCACTACAGCTGAGGTCAAGAATGACCACTTGGCACGCGCGAGCTAGAGTGAATTGGTTATCTTGTTGCCTTGTAATGTGAGTGGGCATGTCATTATCGTGTACGGTAGTATGAATGACAACGGAGGGAGTCGTGGTACGGTTTCCGAGCCGATACCGTTCCAAAGACCCAGGTTCCCAGCTTGCGAGCCATCGATATTGGAGATGGAAGCCGTCAAAGTCACAGGTTTGTCTTCGTTCGCTCGCAGCATCCGATTGCGCCGTGTCATTGCCCCAGCCCTGAGCGGGACGGAAAGGAAGGCCGTTCGAGGATCCAACTTGGGCGCAACCAGAGATGAAGGGAAAAGTGGATGCGCGTGTTTCAGCAAGATGCTGGACTCTCCACAGTAGCACGCGTCGAGGAAGCCAAGAAGCGGGCAACAGCTGTGCGCTGCGTTGATCAAGAACCTCTGATCATTTCCTGCTTTGTGACGCAGAGTGAAGTCAAGCTTCGATCAAGCTTTGGTGGTGGGCTGGAGCGGAATGATTGGATGACACCGCCTCGGCGGGGCGGGCGAGCTTTTTTTGCTTTCCCTTCCCTCGGTACGTACCGTACCTGCTCGCAAGGAAGTCAGGATCCAAGACCCAGGAAGGACACCAAGCCCAAAAGACCCTAGCGCAGCTGAAGTCTGAACGGTGGACCCCGAGACCTCAGCAACCTCCAGGATTGCCTGAGGCCATGACGATGTCCTCCGTCATGGGAGGTTGGCCGTTATGGAGCAAGAGTACGCACGCATTTGCCCATGGTGGTCCCATTCAGCCGACGTTTGATTCGGTTTTGGACGGTCGGTCTGCGAGGTTGAAGGGTTTCCTTGTCACGACAAGCTGCCAATGTGCAATATCCCCACAACCGAGAGACAATCGGGTCCGCGGTTTCGATCCTCGGATAGCATGGCCATGTTGCATCAATCACGAGCCAGATGGCTGCGAGATGCAGAGCACAGCACAGCACCGCACCTCTGCACCATTTGATACCACGGTAGCAAAGACGACGGACGTCGACCAGGGCTCAACGACTAGGCAGACCGCGACGCACCCGATTCGACGGCAGCAGAGTTGAGCAGCGGTGGCAACTCTCTCTTTGGACTGCTTCATATGCCATCCCAACCTTGATTGGCAATCATGGCTGGTCAGCCGCAAGTCAAGTCACGGGCAACAGGCGAGGCGGCGGAGGCAAGGCGAGCTTTCCCCAGTCGGCGACTGATGAAGCGCAC